TGGGCTGTGACAGGCGGTGGTGGCAAAGGGTGCGAGGGGACACGATTGCACTCAGTGGGAGTGACTGCCTCACCTCCTGCACCCCTGGCTGGGACCCTGGGGCTGGGGTCACTGCCTGGGGGGTGGCAGCAGGATGGAGGGTGATGCTCGTCTCTCTCTGCTTTCCCCTGCAGAAAGACCCAACCACGCGCACGAGAAGGTGCGGGATGAGGACCTGTCGCAGTGGGACACGTTGGTGGTCATGGCGGGGGACGGGCTGCTGTATGAGGTGAGGGGCACCGCGGGGCATCCCCCCGGCCGGGAGGGGCACAGAGCTGGGAGAAGAGGGGTGCCTGGGGCAGGAGCCAAGCTTCAAGACACGAAGGCAGGCAAGGAGTGGTAAAGGAGAGATGGCATCTAGCTTGGAGCAAAGCAGGGCAGCCATGGCTGTAGTCCTGCTCTGGCCAGGGGCATCGTGGGCTCCGCTCCCCTGGGCTGTGGAAGGGCTGCTTGCCCAGGCCTGGGTGCCACCAGCTCCCTCCATCCCCACAGGTGGTGAACGGGATCATGGAGCGGCCAGACTGGGAGGACACCATGAAGAAGCCGCTGTGAATCCTGCCGGGGGGCTCTGGGAAAGCCCTGGCTCAGCCCCTCAAACATTTTACGACGCGAGTGACCCCGCCGTTGGCACCGAGGTGGGGGGGGGATGAGGGAAGCCAAAGGCTGCGCATGGCTCCGGCCCAGGGGGATGGGTGCTGGGGTGCCCAGCCCAGGGGTGCCCACCTGGGTCCCCACCTCCCCTCAGGCTGGTGCTGCCCAGCCCCAGCCAGTCCACGTGACCATTGGATTGTGTCCCCTCGTCCCCGTCTCCTCCCATGGGCTTTCCCCTCTCTGGGCTGTAAGTCTGGCACAGCTTTACTCCAAAGGAGCCACCCCGGGGCACAGCCGATCCCGCTGCAGGGCAGGGGGACCGGGATTGCCCTGGCCCAGCAGCCCCAGCTCAGTTCCCGTTTTCAGGAGCCGGTTTATCCTTCCCACCCCCAGCAAACCCTCTCCCAGCAGCTGTCCCTGAGGGTCACTGTCTCCCAGCTGGGATACGTCTCAGCCATGACACAGGGGCAAGGGTTGCACGTGGATGTCGGGACAGCAGGAGAGGCCCCGAGCTGGGTGCAGCCCAAACTCACCCTTCTCCATCCCTCGCAGCAATGATCACGTCGCCAAGAAGAAGCTGCTGACGAACTGCACCTTCATCCTGTGCAAGGGGCTGCACACGCAGATGGACCTGGTCTCGCTGAGCACGGCCTCGGGCAAGCGCCTCTTCTCCTTCCTTGGCTTCGGCTGGGGCTTCATCTCGGACGTGGACA